TTATTTAACCCAATACATCTAAAATATCATAATTTCAAAATGTAATCAGTATGAAGAATTATTAGTGAAGTATTTCACCTACTTTATCTTTCACCTTAAGTCTTCTGAATGGGGTGTGCATTTCATACTTACAGCATATCCCAATTTGGACTAGCCACATTTCTAGTGCTCAAGAGCCACCCTTGGCTGGTGCCTACCATGCTGGCAATGCAGAATGAGACTGCACAAAGACAAAATTTCATGTGGTAAGCCAAACAAGGAAGGGAAACTATAAACTCATTCTACCCTAGGGGCAGGAAACTTTGGAAGAGTCCTGTTCATGCAGGCTAACTGCAGAGCCCCATCTACACCCAAGCCTCCAGTGCCCCTAATGCCCAACTGGAAGCACTTTCTCTCATCCCCAAAGATGCTTACCTATGCTTGGCTATTGCATGCCCCAAACAGGTTTTACTAGATGGTTCTGAAAAAGGACAGGGCCACCACCCCAGGAGATGTTTTAGATATTGTAGCAGGTGGTTGTTATCAGAATTAGTGGGCAGAGATGGGAGTATAGATAATGCTGGGTAGCTCAGTTAGTTAGAGCGCCATCCTAATACACCAAGGATGTGGGTTTGATCCCTGGTTAGGGCACATACAAGAATCAATCAATGAATGCATAAAGAAGTGGAACAACAAATCAGTGTTTCTTTATCTTTCTCTAAAATCAATAATTAAAACAAAATAACTTAGTGGGCGGGGATGGGAGTATAGATAATGCACAGAGCACAGCAACTTTCCAGGTCCCTACCAACTTTGGAGTGTCTCCTGCAAACATTCATGTAGGTAAAAATAACTTGTCAAAAACATCACTTTATTGGTCACATAATCAAAAATATTTTTGCAAATTTTAGCTTGACTTAACTTTTCTAGGAAAATACTACTTTGGAAATCAAAGAAATACTATACTACAAATTGTTCAGATTCACCAAAGTTGTTTGTCAGTTTGGAAAATCACATGACCAGCAGCAATACCATTCATATTGTTTCAGCTGTATCAGTCTGAATTTTTGCCTGTTGCCTTCTCAGTGAGTCTGTGCAGTGAGGCAAGCATCTGACAACTTCATGAGGTCTTCTGGTGTGCTCAAGCCCAGACATGTATACTCTGAAATGCCTACTAGTTTATAATACACTATGTTCCTTTTCTTTTATATTCCTTCTAAATTGGGAGACTGTTTTGGAAAGATCCAGAGAGTAAATATTTTAGGCTTTCTGGGTGTGTTGGTCTATTGCCTATTCTTTTTTTTAAAAAAACAACACTTTAAAAAAATAATAACCATTATTAGCTCATGGGCTGTATAAAAAGAGGCCTTGGGCTGTTTTTGGCTCACAAACCATAGAGCACTTATTATATGATGGTTTTGATTTTGTGTATGTAAGTAGATTACACTATAAATTTCATCTTAGGACAGTAAAGAGGACATTACCAAATATTTAAGGAGTTGGGCTTAATAGTTGAGAATCACTGGCCCATATGCTGATTCCAACAAAAGGAAAATATGAAAATCACTGCAGGGAAATCTTGGGACAAAAAGAAAAAATGGCTAATCTAGTACCAGATGTGTCTGCTACTTCTTTTGATATAATTACCCAGATCCCAAACGCTCACCTGTGGCTCTGGTATCTCAAGTTCTCTCTGTAAGTCTTCTATCAGTGACACAACTCTTTCTCTATTCTCTGGGCAATGTTCCCTCACCCAGGTCTCTATCTCTGTGGGCAAAATTGTTAGGAATTGCTCCAACACTAGAAGCTCCAGGATTTGCTCCTTAGAACGCATCTTTGGCTTCAGCCATTGACAGCAAAGCTCCCAGAGTTTGTTGAAAGCTTCATGAGGCCCAGCTGCTTCTTTGTACTGGAACTGCCTGAAGCGTTGACGAAAGACTTCAGAGTCAGTATCATACTCTTGAAACACAGAGCCCTGATTCAAGGAGGCCTGGATTGCGCAACCCAGGGCAACAGCCATTGCCCCCTTCCAGCAGTGTCCAATTTATCTAGGCCTGAAGTCTCAGACTCCAATTTGTTTCTTTGTATATTTCTTGATGGAGCACCTAAAGCTGAGGAAAGGGCAAATGAGAGAAACAGCAGTGGTTACCAAAGGGCATCCTTATCTCCCTTAATTGCTTGCTTTTCAGCAAAGCCCTAAAATTAGCATATTGTATTATTTTCAGTGGTTTTGAGAATCTGATGAAAGGCATAGGCTCACTTCCTAGAAAAATACACATAACACTTCAAATTCTGCATCCAGTCTCAAAAAGTTCACAAAATCTTCACGTCCATTTATAGACCCTCTAGAACTGCTCTGTCCAACATGGTAGACAATAGTCACATGTGCCAGTTTAAGTTTAAATTATTTAAATATAAAAATTCAATTTCTCATTCATACTATTCACATTTCAAGTGCTCAGTAGACACTGTTGCAGGTAGTTCTATTGGACAGCTCTTTTCCAGAATTCCTTGGACCCAAGGTTAGGAATCCCTTTCTTTAAAATAACCCGTATAGATCTGATGGCCTATATCTCCACTCCCAGTCTAATAACAATTTTCTTGTGTGTCTGAATATAGGTGAGCCAAAGAAGAAATATGAAGGAGCACTACATAAAACAGAGGTGAGTAACCCTGCAAGTTCACCTAGCTTTGAGTAACCCTCAGTCACCTTCAATCACCAGCATCTTAGGGACAGCCATGCCCTGCAAAGGCAGCAACCGTCAATCCCTCATTCTTCTCCACTTCAGATGTGTAGTTCAGCCAACATCACCATGAACCTCATCATGCAAAGGCATTCCGAGTGGCTTTCTCATGAGAAAAACACACTGCACAGGGCAGGCCATCAGGAATCTGGTCTGCAGTAATAATGAAGAACGGTTGTCGCATTCAGCATGCTAAGTGCCAGGTGCTGTTCCAAGCCTCCTACATAAATTCATTTAGCCCTCACCCAATGTTAGGAGGTGGGTACTAGTTTTATGCTCTGAGTACAGATGAGGGCACTAAGGCTTCGGGCTTGGAGGACTGAATAACATGCCCCAGGACCCATAGCAAATGCCAGAGGGAAATGGTGATAAGGTTAGAAACCACAAACTCTTGCAGTGCTCATCTCTCAAAACATCCAAATGTTCTTAGTGCAATCTCTGACAAAGGCAGTCACATACATGTCTTCACAGGTGTGAAGACCGGTACCTGCCCAAGTGCAATAGGTCCTCTCTGTCTGCGTTTACCCACACAGCTCACCTACCTGTCTTCTTTCCTGAACCAGATCAAGGGGGCAAAAAAGACTCTCTTCCAGCCCAGTCATCAAAAAACTTCTCTGTTCCCATCTCATCCCTAGACTAGTTTCTTAAATGACACCCAGAGCCTCTCTCTGTAACATCCTCTTTATAAAATTGCCTTTGGGGGATCAGATTGCATGAAATGCAAACAGCAGTATGCCTGGCACAGAGACAGCTCTGCTCACGAGAACACGTTATTAGAAAGCTTCTATTCCCGCGACTAGGTACCTAAGTGTCGCTGGAGGGCATCCAGGAACCCTGCGGGTTTAGGCTGAGGACCCACCTTTTATGTTCTCCAGCCTCACAGCTGGGAAACTCTTCCCTTACTGACCCAAACCTTACCCCACGTCTCCCACGGAATTGACCCTCCGGGTTTCCCTCCGATGGCCCTTCCGGATGAAAACTTCACTTCCCCAAAGGCCTGATGGCTTCTGTCCAAAGCTTCCAGAATGAACGCGCGCTCACCAGGCCCGTGGATATAGAGGCGCGTGGAAAAAGGCACTGGGCGTCGAGAAAAGAGGGCACTTAGGGGAAAGGATAGGGGGACAGGTCCCTAAATATCTAAAAGCCGGTTTAAAATCGAATGCTGATGGAAAGGGTGCGGCCCCAGCGCTCTCCCAGGAGAAGATGTCTCGCTTCCTGGAGGGGCGACGCCAGCCCGGGAGGACCCTCGGGAAGGCCCGGCCCGGTCTCAAGGAGGGGTGGCGGGGACCCAGGCGGGAGAGGGGACCGCCGCCCGGTCAGGCCTGAAGGCAACCAGTTTTTGTAGCCCAAACGGGATGGGAGCCCCACTCCCCGTGCCCCAGGGACGGCCACGCCCTCCGGACGCACCGGGACTCACCGCCTGGGCGCCCACGATTTACCAGCTCACTCGGTGCAGTACCCAGTGCGCAGGCGCAGGGCAGCGCATCAGACTACAACTCCCGACAGGCCGAAGGCCACCCGTTCCCTGTGGGTGGAGAGTGGGCAGAAGGTTGCTGACGTGAGAGGGGCTGGAGCTTTTCTTTGGGAGGGATTCCATTTCCGGTCAGAGGCCTCTAAATCCCAAGGGGTTGGGTGGGGCCTGTCATGTTTTTGATCCTAGCCAGGGCTTCTCTCCCATCATCCCAAGAATACTAGGAGCAGTTGGGGATGTAAACCAAAATAAATTTTAGACTGTAATAAAGAATAAAAAGGCTTTATTTGCCCATAAAGGAGCTGCAGCTCAAGAGACACAGATTTAGGTAGCAACTTAAATTTTGCTCCACTGAGACGAAGAGGAGGCTGTCTTTTATAGTGAAAGTTCTTGCTCAGCTTTTCAATTAGGTCTGCTTTATGTAAATGAAGTACCCAAATATGCAGTTCTGATTGGACAAGGCAGTTCTCAGTCTAATGGTGGAAAGAGGAAACCAGGGTTTCCTTGTAGTGGTTGACTCAGATGTTCTTAAACAGGCATTGCGCAGGAAGCTCAGAGTTCAGTCTGAACTCCCCTGGGGAAGCCCCTGTCAGCAAATAGCTGCTAAGCTCTCATTATTTATAAAATTTGGGCCCTGTATTGACCATGGGAGTCCATCTCAGCAGATAAATTCCTTCTTGGAGTCCACATTGATTCTCAGATCTCTCTATATAGGAAGAATTTCTAGGGGGAGCTTATTAAAAAAATCATTTTGGGGCACCCATCCCAACACTCTGAAGCACTGGATCTCTCCATAGCTCTAGAATTCACAGTATTGGACAGAACTCCAACCAACTGAGCCACACCAGCTCAGGCTAGAATTTGCATTTTAATAAGCTCTCTTTGTGACTCTGTTCTTTGGCTCACAGCTCATAATAGCCTTGAGATACCTTTGTATTTTCTTCTCTTACAGACTGGAGCCTCCACATACCTACCCTTCTTATTCCTCTCACCCTTCAGCCTGTTCTCAAGTTTCTAGGTTTGCCCTACACCCCACCCTTATTGTTTTCCAATTGGTCTCTCACTGGTCCAGCCTCTGGAGTCAAATTTTCCCGCCCCGGTGGTCAGTGGCGAGTTGTAGGGCAGCCAGATACTATGTTGTCATTTGGTAAAGTTGTCATCATTTTGGCTTGGAGCTAGTACTGTTGGGTTTTGGACACAAATCTTAGTGCTGGTACTTCCTGTGTGAGAGCAGGATCTAGTCCTGCGTGGGTTCAATACAGAGAGTAGAGAGCTGCCTGCCATTGTGCCTTCCAAGGGCCCTGATGGAAGCAAGACAAGCAGGCAGGAGTACCACCTTCCCAAACTCACAGAAGCCAAAGTATTGGAAACAGCTCCAGCAGAGCTAGACTTGGGCTTATGGGCTGGGACATGGAGCCTCAGCAACACCGACTCCTACACATTCTGTTTATTGTTGCAAGAGATGCTGGGGGCACCTTTGCCAGCAGTTGCAGTTGATTTCAAAGCCAAAGTGGTCCAGGAGTCTGACAATGGCCTGGCCCAGGCTCCCAGGAGCACAAAGGGCTCCTGATTGAAACCGAAGGTGTTCCTGATTGAAACCGAAGATGTTCCTGAGCTGGGAGCCAGGAGCTGTTCCTGCTCCACCAAACGTACAGCATGGAGGCCTCCCACCTGTACTGCTGTCGGTTCTGCTATTGGCCCCTGGAGAAACACTTAGGTGGCTCCTGGAGCTTTGCCATGGGAGGGTGGCTTTGGTTTGAGATGCACACCATGAAGTAGATCATGGAGCTGCTGATGTTGGAGCAATTTCTGACCATCCTGTCCCAGGAGATCCACGACAGGGTGCAGAGTTGCAAAGAAGCTGTGACTCTTAGAGTACAGGCAGAGTCAGCTTGTGAGACTAAGGGAATAGGTGAGTGACAGACCTGTGGGTGTTTGGCCCCAAAGACTGTGACATCAGAGCCTTACTTCCCCATTTGGATTGTCTTGATTGCCCTGAGTACACCTTACAAGGCCAAGTGATCTTCTGTAGTTTAGTCTGGAACTTTCATCCTCCAGATTTCCCACCAAGTGCACAGAGTGAATAGTGAAGGGTGCATGTTTCCATGGGGAGCCAGTGTCGCTGCTGCAATAGTTAGTGTTAGCCCTGGAGTTAGATCAAAGGAGTTCAAATCCTGTCTCTCCTGGCTGCCCACTAGCTATGTGACATTTGGCAACTTACTATTCCTCCTTGGGCCTCAATTTTCCCCTTGGTAAAATGGCTTCTGGGATTATTTTGAGGATTAAAGGGAGAGTAGCATGTATGTTTTGATCACATTGCTGGCAAGTAGTTAGTGCTTAAAACTGCTAGCTGTTGTTATATTAAGGCCAGCAGTCTGGTCTCTTCTGCAGAGATGGATCTCAGTTAATGGCGAATGTGGAAATACAGTTTGGCACTGAGGCTTTGAGGTCAGTGCCCCCAGGGCTCCCCAACTAAGCTTATCCAGAAGCAAGGAATGGGAGTATCAGGGACAGGTGGGGAGTGAAAGGGGAATGAAGTACATCACAAGATCTATGAGGTAAGTTGTACACTGGCAAGGACCCTCTCCACACCCTCCACACACAATGACATACACACATTTTTGCTCATGGACATGGTGTCAGAAACCCCTTCTAGTTTAAACCATCTTTTTATTTTGTTGGGCCCAAAGAAACAGACTGGCTTCCTTTTGAAGGTTTACCCTCAGATTCCTATAATAATTTCCATTTCTATTGGACCCTGTTGTGATGATGAGTGATGGTAGGTTGGCTCCAGGGTACAAACAACAGGTTGGGAACAGAAGTACTTTTGGAGAAGCCTTTGCCTCAGGAAACCACATGAAAATTTCTGAGCTTCAAGCTGGAGCCCAGGGACACTCATGGAAGCCCTGAATTCTAGAGTAGTTGCTACTTCTTGCTCACTAGGTCCAATCAGCTTATCATAATCAATGTGATAGAACTTTGAGATGTCTTGTGGAAGATTGATTAATATCTCCACAAACTAAATTATAACATAAGGCTGGAAAGTCAATATATTTCTGATGTGGGACAGTGAACATGTATTGCTGGCCTTGCCAGCTGAAAACAAACTGCTTCTGGTGGTTATACAAATAGTTATTGAGAAAAAAGCATTTGCAAGATCAATAACTGCATAACAGGTGCCAGGGGATGCATTAATTTGCTCAAGTAATAAAATCACATCTAAAATAGTAGCTGTAATTAGAGTCACCACGTGGTTAAGTTAATAACAAACCACTGTCATCTTCCAAGATCTGTCTGTTTTCTACACAGGCTAAATAGGTGAGTTGAATGAGGATGTAGTGGGAATCACCATCCCTGCATGTTTCTGGTTCTAGATGGTGTCACTAGTCTCAGAAATCCATCCAGGAATGTGGTATTGCTTTTGGTTTACCATTTTCTTAGGTAAAGGAAGTTCTAATGGCTTCCACTTGACCTTTCTCACCATAATATCTCTCACTCCATAGGTCAGGGAACCATTGTGGGCATTCTGCCAGTTATTGAGCATATCTATTCCAATTATACATCCCGGAACTGGGGAAATAACCATTGGATGAGTTTAGATACTTAATGAACCCCCCGTGAGATGGAGCTGATCTAAAATTCCATTGATGACCTGACCTACATAAACCTCCACTCTGATTGGTAGACCACAGTAACGCTTTGAGTCTCCTGGAATTAGTGTCAACTCAGAAACAGTGCTCAATACTCCCTGGAAAGTTTGATTATTTCCTTTTCCCTAATGCACATTCAGCCTGGTAAAATACTGTATGTCCCTTTGGGGACGCCTGGCAGAAAGATTAACAGTATATATTTTTGGCAGTATAGAGGGGGTCCTTCCTTTGGGGACCTGGTCTCCCCCTTCATTCAAGGGGTTCTAGGTCTGTAAACTTGCTCAAGTCTTGGAATTGATTTGGGGCCATATATCTCTGTTTTGGTCATTTAAATTAATCTTCAGTGGACTTGACCTAGAACTCCTCGCTTATACAGCTCAAGTAAGAATTTAGTAGACTGCCCGTCTATTTCTCTTCAAGGGACACTATGATCAACTAGCCAACACTATAAGTCTCTGTGAGTCAAACCATTCTCATTACTTCTTTGACTCTGATGTCCATTACAGTAACTATGCCCACTTTGTTTTTTGTTGATTAAGTGCCCTCACTTGGCCCTTGTCACCCTGGGATCCAGTTATCCCCATTGCATTTAAAGATACTGGTTCAGTGGCAATAATTACCACTGTAATTTCTGACCTAAAGAGAAGAGTGAATGCAAAGCTCTTCAGAGTTGTTGGGGTTCTCCTCATAAATGTATTTCTCACAGTCATGAAATGTATATTCTCCCAGGGTGGGTGAACAGGTCTTACATGATAAATCTACTTTTACATTCCAAACTCCCTAAGCTTTCAGATACAGTATACCAAGACAGTGCTAGCATTTCAAATCATTTAGTGTAGACTACCATTTGGTCCATGTTTCAGCCAACCAACCAACCAACCAAAGTGATAGCACCTTTTCTAACCCAATTGAGCTGTGT